CCGCGGAAGTGGACATCACAGAGCTACCGCTGAGGTCCCCACTTCTTCAAGTGACTCTCTGTGGTTCGTTCGGAGCGGAACCCGCGGAAGTGGACATCACAGAGCTACCGCTGAGCTCCCCACTTCTTCAAGTGACTCTCTGTAGTTCGCTCGGAGCGGAACCCGCGGAAGTGGACAACACAGAGCTACCGCTGAGCCCCACTTCTTCAAGTGACTCTCTGTAGTTCGCTCGGAGCGGAACCCGCGGAAGTGGACATCACAGAGCTACCGCTGAGGTCCCCACTTCTTCAAGTGACTCTCTGTGGTTCGTTCGGAGCGGAACCCGCGGAAGTGGACATCACAGAGCTACCGCCGAGCTCACCCACTTCTTCAAGTGACTCTCTGTATTTCGCTCGGAGCGGAACCCGTGGAAGTGGACATCACAGACCTACCGCTGAGCTCCCCACTTCAAGTGACTCTCTCGTTCGCTCGGAGCGGAACCCGCAGAAGTGGACAACACAGAGCTACTGCTGAGCTCCCCACTTCAAGTGATTCTCTGTGGTTCACTGGGAACAGAACCCGCGGAAGTGGACATCACAGAGCTACCGCTGAGCTCCCTACTTCAAGTGACCTCTTCGGCACAGAATGGTCCACGGAAGCCGACAACATGACTGTCACCAGGGCATGACACGCTCACAAAGAGGTGTTTTGATTTGCCGAACTGAAACTTCGGCAAATTCTTTCGCAGACCCGGGGAGACTTTTCACCGAAACAACAACGAAAAAAGCCCCCACCCCCACATTTGGGGTACAGCAGCAGAGTGTGTGGACTAATCCCCATCTGTTACATCTCACCCCCCTCTACACCCGTGGGTGGGTGGGTGTGCGGGTGGTACAGCAGCAGAGTGTGTGGACTAATCCCCATCTGTTACATCTCACCCCCCTCTACACCCGTGGGTGGGTGGTGGGTGGGTGGCATAGCAGCAGAGTGTGTGGACTAATCCCCATCTGTTCCATCTCACCCCCCTCTACACCCGTGGGTGGGTGTGTGGGTGGGTGGCACAGCAGCAGAGTGTGTGGACTAATCCCCATCTGTTACATCTCACCCCCCTCTACACCCGTGGGTGGGTGTGTGGGTGGGTGGCACAGCAGCAGAGTGTGTGGACTAATCCCCATCTGTTCCATCTCACCCCCCTCTACACCCGTGGGTGGGTGGTGGGTGGGTGTGTGGGTGGGTGGCACAGCAGCAGAGTGTGTGGACTAATCCCATCTGTTACATCTCACCCCCCCTCTACACCCGTGGGTGTGTGTGTGGGTGGGTGGCACAGCAGCAGAGTGTGTGGCTCCTCGCCCACCACGTGGCCTGCGCCGACTTCCTGCTCGTCTGGTTTCTCAAGCCCCCTCTCCTCGCCCGTCTCCGGGGCGGCTGGCAAACGGCGTTGCAAGTTGACATTCTTGTTAACGTATACTTTTTTGCTTTTGAGAGGCTGGTACAAACTTGTCAGCACCGGTGGGACGAGCCCACGCGCTGTCCGGGTAGGCGTGTGCGGCGACGCGGGATTTCACCGACGGATCTTTAGATTTTGATTCGTATTCGTGGTTCTTTCGGTAAAGTCACCACCACGTGGAAGGGAAACAATAAAAGAATTTTAAAAAAATAATAAAAGGGTGAAAAACCATTATTGTATCTTGCCACTGGCAAAAGGGGCTCTCATAATGCAAAAGCTTACCCCGAGCTCTCAATACTCTCATGGTACGTTGTTGTCTTTGAGTTGTGCGCCTTTTGGCATCGTCTGGTCCAACACCATTGGAGACAGGGCTCTAAGAAAAAGCTGTCTCGGGTGTGGACCAATCAATTTCAAGGACAGTGCATTCACTATCAGAGTTGCCTTTTTGCTTGCATTTTGACCGCTAGTGTTGTGGTTAATGCAAGATTAAAAGGTAAAAACCTATTATTATATCTTGCTACTAGCAAAGGAGGTCTCATAATAGTTGTAGATTAGTTGAGGAGTGCGGTGTGGTGGGGGGGGATTTGCCATTAAATGTTATACCACCACTCTTTCGACAGCGCCCGCATTGTGACTGGAAGACATCAATAATTAAACCCGTCGCCCGAACCCGTGATTTATAGCACCTGCGGTTTCGGAGGTTGCAGTGGTTTCTTGGTTGGTATATCTGGGCGTGTGTGGTGAGCGAGGTGTGTATGGTGCGTGGTGTGTGTGTGGTGAGTGTGTGTAGGATGAGTGTGTGTGGTGTGTGTGTGGTGAGTGTGCGAGTGGTGTGTGTGTGAGTGGTGTGCGTGTGTGGTGAGTGTGTGCGGTGTATATGGTCCGTGTGTATGGTGTATATGGTGTGTGAGTGTGTGAGTGATATGTGAGTGGTATGTGAGTATGTGAGTGTGTGTGGTGAGTTTGTGGTGTCTATTGTGAGTGTGTGCAGAAGTGTGTAAGTGGTGAGTGTGTGAGTGGTAAATGTGTGCGAGTGGTGTGTGAGTAGTAAGTGTGTGATTGGTGTGTGAGTGGTGAGTGGTGTGTGAGTGGTGTGTGAGTGGTGTGAGAGGTGAGTGAGTGGTGTGTGTGTGAGTGGTGAGTGAGTGGTGTGTGAGTGGTGTGTGAGTGGTGTGTGAGTGGTACGTGTGTGAGTGGTAGTTGTGAGTGGTGAGTGTGTGAGTGGTGAGTGTGTGAGTGGTGAGTGTGTGAGTGGTGTGTGAGTGGTGTGTGTGTGAGTGTGTGAGTGGTGTGTGAGTGGTGAGTGTGTGAGTGGTGTGTGAGTGGGTGAGTGAGTGGTGTGTGTGTGAGTGGTGAGTGTGTGAGGGGGTGAGTGAGTGGTGAGTGTGTGAGTGGTGTGTGAGTGTGTGAGTGGTGTGAGTGTGTGGTGAGTGTGTGAGTGGTAAGTGTGTGAGTGTGTGAGTGGTGTGTGTGTGAGTGGTGAGTGAGTGGTGAGTGTGTGAGTGGTGTGTGAGTGTGTGTGAGTGGTAACTGCAAGGTGACACTGACGGCTGCTCTGTGCTGCTTCCGGTGTTCAGAGGGGGCCTGCTCAAGGCGCGGCTGCGGCTGGAGCACGCCACGTGACACACACACGTGTCGGTGATGTGCAGCGCGTCTTCGTCTAACGCTGGGGAGCCGGGCAAGCCCCTCTCTGTACCAGCGTGGAGGGCACCACCCCACGTGTTCACCTTCTGAAGCGCTCGCTCGTGTCACGTGGCGTGCGCGATGAACACCACCACCACGTGACTTTTATTTCGGTTGTGCGCTGGTGCATTTAGGGCCACGGCGCGTGGATTTGTAGCGATTATTTGTGTTGCTGGTGACTTTGTGTGTTTGTGTTTGCTGGTGACTTTGTGTAGTTGTGTTGCTGGTGACTTTGTGTGTTTGTGTTGCTGGTGACTTTGTGTATGTGTTGCTGGTGACTTTGTGTATTTGTGTTGCTGGTGACTTTGTGTATTGTGTGGCTGGTGACTTTGTGTATTTGTGTTGCTGGTGACTTTGTGTATTTGTGTTGCTGGTGACTTTGTGTATTTGTGTTGCTGGTTGACTTTGTGTATTTGTGTTGCTGGTGACTTTGTGTATTTGTGTTGCTGGTGACTTTGTCTATTTGTGGTTGCTGGTGACTTTGTGTATTTGTGTTGCTGGTGACTTATGTGTGTTTGTGTTGCTGATGACTGTGTATTTGTGTTGCTGGTGACTTTGTCTATTTGTGTGGCTGGTGACTTGTGTATTTGTGTTGCTGGGACTTTGTGTATTTGTGGTTGCTGGTGACTTTGTGTATTTGTGTTGCTGGTGACTTTGTGTATTTGTGTTGCTGGTGACTTTGTGGTATTTGTGTTGCTGGTGACTTTGTGTATTTTGTGTTGCTGGTGACTTTGTGTATTTGTGTTGCTGGTGACTTTGCGTATTTGTGTTGCTGGTGACTTTGCGTATTTGTGTTGCTGGTGACTTTGTGTAT